TAAATAATAAATAAGTAAATACTGCTTTAAAAAAAAGGCTATAAAGAGAGTTCAAGGTCAATCTGGGCAACTTAGCCAGACCCTTTCTCAAAATAGTTTAAGAAGGGTCATTGCTGGGCGTGGCGGCACAGGTCTTTCATCCCAGTACTTGGGCAATGTAGCCACCCCCCTCGTCCCTTAAGGACAATAGTGCTCTGCTCACTAAGTGTCAACCGGATCCTGACCTTTGGCTCGCTAAGAGTTTACAGACTTCTTCAGGCTTTGCTGATGTGGAGGCTTGAGGATTAGACAGCTGTTTCTGGAATGCTGGGACAGGTTGTCTGTCCCGCCCCCTTTACTTTTCTGCATACATCAAAGGAGTTCTGTTCCTGGCCGCTGGCCACACCTTGAGCACGCCGTGTTTTCTTACTCCTATGATGGGAAACTCCTATGTTCTACACAGCTTCAGCATTTGCCATGTAAACTCTGTGTGAGCTTCAAACCCTGGGCTTCCAATGAGACTCAGGAGGGCAGTGAAGATGATGCTGAGCCGGAACAGGCTGAGGGTTGCCAGGTCTGACTCTGGTTTTTGGGGAATGGACACTGTGGAGGGCCTCTACAGAGAAGCAGAGGCAGGCAGATCTCTGTGAGTTCAAGGCCAGCCTGATAGACAAAGCATCTTCCAGGCTGGCCAGGGCAACACAGGGAGACTCTCTGTCAAAAAAACAAAACAAAAGGGCCGTAGCTTGGTGGGAGTGGGGGGGTGCTTGCCTAAAAAGAATCTGGATGCTAATGGTAGTGGTTGTGGAGGTGGGTCCATCCTGAGGGCCAGTCAGTGTTCAGGAGTCAGTGCAGATTTTACTCCCTTTACAGATGGGTACCTTGAGGCTCACAGAGGTTGGGACTCCTGCCATAGCACGTGGCAGAACTTGGATGCAGACGCAGGCTGATGAACAAATGATATAATGACTCCATCGAGTCCCATCAGGGTGGGTGACATCATGGCAGAGCAGGAACAAACCAGACAGGTTACAGGGAGAGGCAGGAACCTACAAGAGGACAGAGCCAGCCTCTTAACTACTCAGGAGAGAATTACCACCCCCCTCCACCCCACCCCCGCCCAGAGAGCAATGCCTCAGACCCCTCCTCTTAAATGTACCTCCACCTCTTAGTCCCTCCACACTGAGGGCCAAGCCTCCAGCTTGGGAAACTGGGGTGCATGGGTCCAGAGGGACAGCCCAGGCGTTCCCTCCCACTTACGCCCTCCAGCTTAGGCCCAGCTCCACTGTGTCAGTAGAGCACCCTGAACCCGAGTCTCACCTCCCCTTAGACTTGCTGCTGGGAGCCTCCCTGAGCCTTTTGCTCATCCATACAGTGGAGGTTGGAAGCCTTCTCAGGACCACAGGCCCTGCATGGGGCCGCGCTGTCCATGCTCCCTGTAGGTGTCATTAAGCCAGAGAACAGCCAATGCTAGACTGACCCAGAGGCCTACAGAGCTGGGAACACTTGTCACATACGCTAGGGTGGCACCCCAACTCTGGTATCTCCCCCCGCCTGACTTATTCTTCATCCATAAACCCAAAGGCCATGCTGACCTCCTCCATCCTCCAGGAATCTGAGCCAAGGGAGGCCCAAGGAGGCTCAAGTTTAGACATTCTGGAGGATGTGATGTGGGAAATCAGAGACACTGGGGTCCCCTCTCAAACTCTAGTGACTGCTGCCCAATGAGGAGGTGGTCTGAGGTGGGGGAGCCTGGGCAGGAAGCTGGTAGAGAGAGGGCCTGATGGGATGAGGAGGGGCTCCTCCATGCTGACCACCCCCTCTTTCCTCTAGTCTGGATGGAAGAGTTGGGGTCTTACCTGGATGATGGAGAGATGGAACCAGAAGCCTGAGGCATTGTCACCAAATGGTGGCACATGTGTGACAGCTCCCTGCCCCACTGCCCCCTGCCCTGGATGTCAGAGACATGGCTATCTGAGCAGTTGGATGGGGACAGCGACTCCGGCCCTGGACCAAGACAGAGGTGGCAGGAGAAGAGGCAGGTCCCCAGCCCCAGTGGGACACGGTGCCGCCTCTGTGCCAACCCAGACCTCGGCTTGGCGAAGAGAAGGCCATCCTGCCCTACGGCCACTGTGACCATGGACTCTGACCTTCGAGGTCACAAAACACGGGACTCCTTGCCAGAGCAGGGCCTCCATTTTTTACAAGTTGTTTTACAGATACGGAAACTGTATCCAGACTGTGATTTATAAATTCTCTTTTGCATTATAAGTAAAGATCCTCTACGATGCAGGAGGAATCCTGCTTCTTGGGTTGGGGGAGGAGATGATGCCCAGTACCCGTAGAGTGAGAGGAAGGGAAGGTGTTCCAGGTGGTCAGGGTCGGGGGACCAGGTGTGTCCAAGCTCTTGGCCTCTTAGTCAGGAAACTGAAATAAAAGCCACACGGGGGTTGAAGAGATGGCCCTGGTTAAGGGCAAGTACTGCTCTTGCAGAGGGTCAAGTTCAGTTCTCAGCACTGACACTGAGCTTTCACAACCCCCCAGTGACTGCAGCCCTCTTCTGGCCTCTGCAGGCACCCATACACATGACACATAGGCACATACATAAATAAAAATAAAAATTGAGGCTGGGCATGGTGGTGCATGCGTTTAATCCCAGCACTTGGGAGGCAGAGGCAGGGGGATCTTTGTGAGTTGGAGGCCAGCCTGGTCTACATAGTGAGTACCAGGAAAGCTGGGGCTCCAGGGAGACCCTGTCTCAAAAAGACAAATAAATAAATAAATAAATAAATAAATAAATAAATTGAGGGAAAAAAAAAAAAGCAACTTAGGGTGAAAGGGTTTGTTGGGCTCGAGATTCAAGGTGCCAGTCAAGCCTTGTGGGGAAGTCAAGGCGGGAACCAAAGCGGCTGGTCATGACAACCAAGAGCCGAGAGCAATGTATTAACATGGTGTGCGGCTTGCTCCTATTGATCTAGTCTAGGGCCCAATCCATTACGCAACACTGCCCAGATTCAAGATGAAAAAAGCCCTCACACCAGGCATGGTGGCGCACGCCTTTAATCCCAGCACTTGGGTGGCAGAGGCAGGCGGATCTCTGTGAGTTCAAGGCCAGCCTGGTCTACATAGTGAGTTCCAGGACTGCTGGGGCTACAGGGAGACCCTGTCTCAAAAAGATCGAAAAGGAAAAGCATCCCTCCTAGGTGCATCTGCAGGCCAACCTGACCTCGACAGTACCTGAGACTCCCCAGGTGAGTCTAGATGGTGTCATGTGGACAGCCTGAAGTCATCATCATGTCCTCGATGAGTCCCACCCCCCCTTCCCTCCCTCTCCCACTTCTTTCCTTTTGGAGTGCTGGGAATTGAACTAGGACTTCATGAACACTAGGTAAGTGCTCTACCCCTGGACCACACTCCCAGCTTTCTCAAGCTCACACTCGTCCATCCGCGTAGCTGAGGTGGGAGGGAGTGAGGCGCTGCAGGCCTGTAACCCCAGGACTCCTTCCTCGCTTCCGCGTTTCCTTGTTTGTTCTGCTTTCGGTCTTTTTGAGACAGGGTCTCTCTGTAGCCTCAGTTAGCCTGGAACTCGCTGCGTAGACCGGGCTGGCCTCGAGCTCACAGAGATCCGCCTGCCTCTGCCTCCCGAGTGCTGGGACTACAGGCGAGCGCCGCACCCAGCCAGCCCTCTTCTTTTTGAGGTAGCCTTGCTATGCAGCCCTGGCTGGCCTGGAATGCACTAACGTACTATGTAGTAGCCTCGGTTGATTTCAGAGTTGGGGTGCCTCATCCTCCTGAGTACTGGGGTTATAGGCATTACCACCACACCTGGCCTTTTTAGGTTTGGTTGGTTTTGTGCCATGCTGGGGATGGGCCTTCTGCTAGGCCAGCACCCTACTGCCCTCCTTTTACTTTGTATTTTGAGATTAGGTCTCCTGAAGTGGCTCAGACTAGCCAGGAACTCACTATGTAGCCCAGGCTGGCCTTGAACTTCTGATCCTTCTGCCTCGGCCTCCTGAGTAGCTTGAGTGATAGGCCTGTGCAGGCCCACTCGGTTTTAGTTTATGTTTTTTTTTTTTTCTAGACAGGTATCAAAACTCCTGATCCTCTGTTGTCTACCCACCAAGTGTGAAGATTACAGGCATGTAACACTACATCCACTGGGGTTTTAAAAGAAGACATCAGGGCTAGAGAGATGGCTCAATGGTTAAGAGCACTGGCTGCTCTTGAAGAGGACCTGGGTTCAGTTCCCAGCACCCATACTGGGCAGCTTTCAGCCACCTGTAACTCCAGTTCCCTGGGATTCAATGCCATCTTCTGGCCTCCACAGGCACTGCACTTATATGACACACACACACACACACACACACACACACACACACACAAACACACTAAAAATAAATACTTAAGAAAAATGAGAGTGTTATTTAGCTGGGGTGGGTATCCTCTTGGTGTTGTCTGGAATGTAGATTTTGACTGATTGATTAATTGATTGATTGAGACAGGGTCTCTCATTATGTGGCCCCAGTTGGCCTGAAACTATGTAGATCAAGCTGGCCTTGAACTCAGAAATCCACCTGCCTCTGCCTCCTGAGTGCTGGGATTAAAGGCCTGTGCCACCACGCCCAGCTTTTTACTTTTTTTTTAATGTCAAAACCAAGTGTAGTGATAAAAACTAGCATTGAAAAGCACAGTGAGTTGAAAGAGTCTGGTGACACACACCTGTAATCCCAGCATGAGAGACTGAGGCTGGAAGATCATCTGGGAGTTCCAGGCCAGCCTGGTCTATACAGTGAGTTCCAGGCCAGCCTGGGTTACATAGGGGAACCCTATCTCAAACAAGTTAAAGCATTTTAACTAAGTTCAGAAAGTGAGACCCATAATCTTAGCACTTAAGAGACTGCAGTAAGGGGCTGGAGAGATGGCTCAGTGGTTAAGAGCACTGACTGTTCTTGCAGAAGACCAGGTTCGAATCCCAGCACCCACATGGCAGCTAACAACTGTCCATAACTCCAGTTCTAGGGGATCTGACAGCCTCTTCTGTCCTCCGTGAGCATTGCATGACATGGGTGCACTTACCTACATGTAGGCAATACACGCATACACACAAAATAGAAATAATAAATAAAAAAAATTTTTTTAATTAAAAAAAAGCCAGGGCATGGTGGAGCACGCCTTTAATCCCAGCACTTGGGAGGCAGAGGCAGGTGGATCTCTGTGAGTTCAAGGCCAGCCTGGGCTAACATAGTGAGTTCCAGGACAGCTGGGGCTACAGGGAGACCCTGTCTCAAAAAGACCAAAATAAAAAAAATCTAAAAAAAGAGACTGAGGTAAGAAGGAGACTGGAGAGGTGGCTCAGTGGTTAAGAGCACTGGCTGTTTTTGCAGAGGACCTGGGTTCGATTCCTAGCACCCACATGGTGGCTAACAACCATCTGTAACTCCAGTTCCAGGGGATCCAATGCCCTCTTCTGACCTCTGCAGGCATTGCATGACACAGGTGCACCTATCTACAAACAGGCAATACATTCATACACATAAAATAAAAATAATAGGGGCTGGAGAGATGGCTCAGGTTAAGAACACTGGTTGTTCTTGCAGAAGACCCGGGTTTGAACCCCAGCACCCATATGGCAGCTAACAACTGTCCGTAACTCCAGTTCCAGGGGATCCACCAGCCTCTTCTGACCTCCTTGGGCCTTGCACAACATGGGTGCACTTACCTACATGCAGGCATAACACTCATACACATAAAATTAAAAGAATAAATAAAAAAAATTTTTTTTGGTCTTTTTGAAACAGAGTCGCTCTGTAGCCCCAGTTGTCCTGGAACTCACTATGTAGACCAGGCCTGGCATAAAGATATTTTTTTAAAAAAAGAGACTGAGATAAGAAGAGACAGTTGGGCGTGATGGCGCACACCTTTAGTCCCAGCACTCGGGAGGCAGAGGCAGGCAGATTTCTGTTCAAGGCCAACCTCATCTACATAGTGAGTTCCAGGACAGCTGGGGCTACAGGGAGACCCTGTCTCAAAAAGACCGAAAAGAAGAGAAGAAGACAGAGACTATAAAGGCCTGTGTGAGATTTTGTCATAAAGCTACAAAAACTCAAAGCATCGGGAAGAGCCCTGTCAGCACTAGGGTGGGCAGAGACGAGGGTGAGCAGCCCCTGAAGACCTCCGGCTGACTGAACACAGACCCCACCCTGGTGTGTCTTAGGACAGTCCCCAGGTTCTGGGAGACAAGGCATTAGTCTGGCCCCAACACTTGCGATCCACTCTGTCTCCTGCAGAAAGGGAGGTGGGGAGGGGAGAAGTGTGAACAGATGGAAATGTAATTTTTTAATGACAGCAGCAGATGGGGAAAGGGCACAAGAGTGTGTTCACACCATGTCGGAGCCCTGCGAGAGCGCCCGGCCCAGCCATAATGTGCGCAGTGGGGCTGTCTCGGTGGCTCCCCTGCCAGATCCAGGAGGTGGGCCAGCTGCAGGCAGGAGCAGGCCGCAGGGAGGGGTGGGATGTTGCCAGGCTTTGCAGCCACAGGTTGAGGAAAATACTGGTGGCCGCCTGGTGGGAGCTGGAGGCTCCCTGTGTCTGGCTTTTCCCAAAGCAGCAGGACGGGGCCCTCACCACCTCTCATCTGCTCCCAGGTGCCCTTGGCCACAGTGGGTCACACCCAGGACTCCTGTAGTTTCTCTGGAAATGCAGATAGGAGTTAGGTGTGATGGCTCACACCTGTCATCCCAGCACTTGGAAGGCTGAGGCAGGAGGATCACTTCAAGTTTGGGGCCAGCTTGGGCTACATAGTGAGTTACAGGCTAGCCTAAGTTACAAAGAGCCTCAAAAATCTCAAAAATAGGGGCTGGAGAGATGGCTCAGCGGTAAAGAGCACTGGCTGCTTTTGCAGAGGACCCCGGTTCTGTTCCCAGCACCCACATGGCAGTTTGCAACTGTCTGTAACTCCAGTTCCAGGGGATCTGACTGTGGACACGGCACACACGGTGCACTTACATGCACGCAGGCAAACACCCATGCACATAAAAATAAATTTTAAAAAGTCAATAAGTAAATGAATAAACAAACCATAGCGGGATCGTGTCTTTTCTCACATCCACATGCCCTGTGGTCCTTGGGTTTTCAAGGTCAATTTCAAGTTGTTTATTTTATTTTAGTTTTGATGGGTTTTTTGTTTTTTGGTCTTTTTGAGACAGGGTCTTCTTGTAGCCCCAGCTGTTTAAACCAGGCTGGCCTTGACCTCACAGAGATCCACCTGCCTCTGCCTCTGCCTCTCTGCCGGGACTAAAGGCATGTACCACCACGCCCAGCCCTGATCTTTTCTTTTTAATTTTATTTATTATTTTTGTTTTACGTGTATGTGTGTATTGCCTGCATGTAGGTAAGTGCACCTGTATCATGCAATGCCCACGGAGGACAGAAGAGGCTGTTGGATACCCTGGGACTGGAGTTACAGACAGTTGTTAGCTGCCATGTGGATGCTGGGATTTGAACCTGGATCTTCTGCAAGAACAACCAGTGTTCTTAACCACTGAGCTGTCTCCCCAATACTAATAAATTATTTTTATGTGTATGTGTGCATTGCCTGCATGTAGGTGAATGCATGCGGAAAAAT